TGTTACTCTGGCTGGATTGAACGTGCAAGCTCTTTATTATCAGGCTGCGCCCGAAAAAGTCGCATTAAGACACTTCCCAATTACATTCAAAGACGCTGCAGCCACGCGAAGTACGGTGACAGGACTAGGGAAAGAGAGATCCACATCTCTCCTTGTTCTAGCTTCTCTGCATTGGCTCCCTGTAGAAATTTAGAATAGAATTTTTAAATGCCCTCCTCCCTCACCTACAAACAGCTCTTTACGGTCCAGCGGCCCTGTCATGTCTTAAAGAGCTCCATAGTACCCTATTACCCTCAAAATAGAACACTGCGTTCTCCTTAATGCAGGGCTACATTGTGGTTCCTAATAGTCTCCTAAAAAGCAGAACAGCGAGCCAGAGCGCTTCCAGTTACCGAAGCTCCTCTCGTTGTGAACCAGCCTTCCCAGATTTGGGTGTTGGGAAGGCAGACACCCCTCTCCACATTTAAGAGTAGGGCTTAAGGACATTTCTCTCTTGATACAAGGCTTATGGCCCTGCTGCCATGTCCTGCGGTTGACTCCCCATTGGTTGAATATTAGCGTGTATATGTGATTATTAGTAATGATTATGTTTATGTATTATTGTGATCTGTTAAGTAAGGTGATGTATTATTAACTATTATAGGTTACTATTTATTACTCGTCCATCCCGTCCCCAATCCCATTGGTGCGCTGTTGGTCCGTCATCATCGATCATCAATCCTCATGGAATCATCCATCGAGTCATTTCTATCTAGTGAAGCTTGTTGCGTACTGTTGTTGTGGCACCCTGTGGTTCTGTCTCTGTCACTCTCCTCCCTTGTGGATTAGTTTTTCTGCATCTGTCTGTGACAGGATGTGTCTAATTTTTGTAATATTACGTAAATGAAAGAAGGCAGTCCTAGAGATCTGCTTTATATGGGAGTTAAATGACAAATCCTGATCAAAGATAACTCCAAGATTCCTGACAGTGGTGCTAGAGGCCAAGGTAATACCATCTAGAGAAATTATATCTTTAGACAGTGAGTCTCTGACGTGTTTGTTAGACAATTAGTCAATATCCATCTCACCCTTGACAATAATCGATTAACTCCATTGAATCACATCAAATGAGGAGCCATCACCACATAAACCAAAGTCAACCAGAGTCAAATATACATTTATATTATAGCACATTTGCCCGTGTTTCCTTTCAACCTACTGCTGTATTCATAATCTGTCATTACGTACGTTTGACACTTGATTGTTGCCTTTAAAAGAACACACATTGTAAAAGATTTGAAATTTTAGGAGTAAGTAGTTAGAAATAATCTGAAATGTCTCCTTAAACTGAACTGTATGACCTTAAACCAGGACTTTGTAAAGGATGCAGAAACCAGGTTGAGACTAAACCACAGGTGCTGTTTAAACTGCAGCTTCTGATGATACAGCAATAGGGCTTAATTGATTTTACCTAGAAAACCTTGAACCATAGCTAAGCTAATGACAGAGCAACATCCGTAACATATTGAGTATTGCATGCATAAATAAGACTGAAATAAATAATCAAATGACAACATGATACATTATAGGACATATACAATATATGTATAGAAATATAAACTCTGTTAATGTAAGAGGAAGCATGATGAAACATTTTTATATATTTATATATTTTATTACTTTGTATTTATTAATATGTCTAGTATTAAAAACAGACAGACAGAGCTATCAGCAGGAGTCACACAGCTAACGTTGCCATCCTTTAGTCAAATGATAGGGACAATCTTACAAAAAGCTGGTTTACTCAGGCTCATTAGATGTGCTTGAAGCCCAATTTCCAGTATTTAGCAGAAAGCTGAAAGCTGGCTCAATACAATGGAAAACCTACTACCCCTACCCCCTACCTCCCCCTGCTTGAAAGCCAAACCACTGGCTCTGGGGCGATTATGGAATTGCAGACACAGGCCCACTCAACGTAGATCAAACACAAATTAGATTTGGTCCCCATGTCATTGGGTGTGTCTCAGTTAATGATTCTGTTGTGAAATATTGTTGATATTTTGTGCTTGTGCACAAATGCTCAACCTGGCAAACCTGACCGTCAGCAGTATAAGAAAAAAACGACATGTCTTTAATATCCAATGCTGTGTATCTCACAGTAAACGTTTGCTTGTTTTCTTTCATTTTTAGAGCTCTGGAATGCCAAAGGAACAGGGGCACTTTGGGGAGCGGGCCACCCGTGGCACCTCAAAGACTGCTAAGGATAAGAGCAACAGTGCCACCCTGCGGGCGTCCCAGGGTGGCTCCTACAGGGAGCAATCTGGAATGGGTGACATGAGCAACTGCATGCTGCACTGTGACTCAGAGAAGGACTCTGAAAAAGACTCTGGGTACTCAGGTGAGCAAAGTCCATTTGGATGCATGGACGCAGACTTTTGTCTGTAAATCTTTATAAATATTTTATACTAACAAATTACACATTTCATTGTGTTTTTATGGCAGAGAAAACTTATGGACATTATGTTTTAATGAGATATACAATTGCTATCTTCTATACTGATGCCTCTACGTATATGACCATACAAACAAGACCATCAGAGAGAAGATTGGATATTTCTATATAGTTTTTAATGCCTGCCACTAGGTTGCATTTGGTCAGATTCCCCTTGAAATCAATGAAACAAGGTGGTAGAAACACTACTGCTTTTGTCCACAGTGGGTGCCAGAATCAGCACAAAATAAAAGTTCCTTGTAGGTCAGGGGTCTCAAACTCAGACTGTTAAGGCCACCGCTGGTATTTTCACCTCTATAGGAAGGCCACTGCAATGTTCAAGTACTACAGGAAAGCAAATATTCTTAAATTCTTTAATAATGAACATAATGATAATCATACTCATCATAAAATAATGCAGCTTCTGTACATTTTCTGCTTTCTCCTTTTCAACCCTTGCATTTGCTGGCACCTTTGACAATTATTTTGCAACAAATAAAATATATATTTTTTCCAAATAGAATTGTATTTTTATTTTGATTGTATATGACGGAGTAGTTTAAATTGATATGAAACAACAAGAAAATAATACCACTCTTGCTTATATTTTATTTTTGACATGTCACAGCCCAGGGGGTGGGGGGTGGAGGGCCAGAAATGGCTCCTAGCCAGCAGAGACCCCTGTTGTAGGAGCTTTAAGTGAAAACTAACACTTGTTGCTGAATGTCTGTGCACATCAAACGACATTTACATTTGGATATTTCTCCATCCTTCTCCATCTGGTGCTGTGGGAAATAGTGAGGAATTCACACGTGAACATCTTTCCCATCACTCACTCCTATGTCCTCTCTACCTCCTCTTACTCTTGGTTCTCCCTCTCCCTCTCCCTCAGAGGCTGGCTCTGACTCTGTGCACACCGATTTAGACGACCAGCGCAGCAGTGTGAGCGAACCTCACAGGGAAAGCAGCAAAATCCCCAGCAACAACAACAGTGCAAACGCTGCAGGCCACAACATGCCTCCCTATGAGGAGCTCACCCCCATTTATGTCATCAAAAACCTGGTGGTCAAGCCGGTGAGATACTCAGTAACACATAAGTTGCTTTTTCAGCCGTTCTACTTTGTTGCATCATGAACAAAGATTCAAGTACAATTATTAAGGAATGGGGAACTCTGTTTTGAAGTACATTCAGTCAACAGTACTTGATTATTAAAGTGTATCTGAATAGTTTCCTTAGTTGTTGACAGATGAATAGTAATTAATTTTCTAATTAACTAACTGATTGACATTGCAAATTTTTTTGAAAGCCACTATATTAACTATGTATGATAACTGATCAAATGACAACACAAAACATGCAGTAAATAACATACAGCTTACAATCAATTACTTGGGTGGGTGCAGACACCTTATCTTCCAGTTCAATACCATAGTCCTGGAATAGGGTTGTAGGACTGCAACTAACAATTATTTAGTGTTAATTAATCTGATGATTTTTTTTCTAATTAATCATATTAATTAAACCTAATTCATTATGTATTGTTATTATTATTATTTGGTCTATTAAATATCAGTTTAAAAAAGAGAAAAATGTTCAGTCCAAGTTGATGTCTTCAAATGTCTTGTTTTGTCTAGACAGTCCAAAACCCAATGTTTACTGTGCTATTAATCAGAAAAAAAACTGCTAATTCTCACATTTGAAGAAGCAGGAATTAAATAATGTTTGGTATTTCTTCTTGAAAAATGACTTTCTCACAATCAATTGATTATTATTTGTGTTGCCACTTGGGAGCAGCAGAAACAAGATGTACAACACTGACTTATTATCTCCTTGTAAAGTTGATATGGCAAATGTGTTGTATAAAACAGCTGTACATTACAATTACACATCCAGCAGACACAGAGTAGCATTAGCATTCATTTGACTTGTCATTCAAATATTGACTCCCAACTCTTGAGAAGTGTCTGGCTCTTTAACTGCTAAATTTCCAACTTGCTTCATCAGTTGGTTAACCAAAACAGTAAATGTATTGGCTGTAAAACCAAAACAATGAGTAGAAATAGAGTCCCACCTAGAGCTGGAGTCTGTTCAAAGTTTCTGCCTCTTAGAAGAAAGTTTTTCCTTGCTGCCGTCGCCAAGTGCTTGGTCGTGGTGGGTCTCTTATTATTTGTAAATAATTTTATAAGGAGTACGGTCTAGACCTAATCTATTTGAAAAGTGTTCTGAGATAACTTTTGTTGTGAATTGGCGCTGTACAATTAAAATTTAATTGCACTGAAATTAATTGAAATACACTAAAAAGCTATTTAATTAAGGAAACCAGAGAGTTTGTGATAATTCTTCTGTGGGTTTGTCACTATGTCAATCTTCTATTTTTTATATTTAAAAAGATTAGGGTCAGTTGTGACAGTGTGTACCCAGTACATTTGCAACGCATATCAGAATTACTACATTTTAATTTATTAAATCAAAGTAATTTGTTCTGCATTGTATTGTTGCTGCTTATCTCTTTGTGACTTTAACCTCCTCCCCATCTGTGGCTTTCTCCTTTACTCTGGTTTGGGCTGCTCTTATTGCTGCTCACATAAAAACCCCACTCACAACCTCCTGGTGGTACAGTCTAGACCGGAGCAGCTTCTGCATGGCTCCCTGGCATGGGGTGGAAGTTGGCACAGCCTTACCAATCCCAAAGCGCCCACTCAGCTCTTGCTGATCCAACAGCCAACAATGCCTGCCCCTTCCTCCTCCACCCTGACTCCTTCATCCAGTCTAGCAGCACCACAGGGTCAAGTTAAGAAAGGAGGCAGCCGCAGCAATCAAAGCCACAGCAGCAAGAACCACAGCAGCAACAACTTATACCTGCCTATCCTAAATTCTTACCCTCGCATCGCCCCCCACCCCAGGAAGGAGAGCCATGAGGGCAAGAGTACCAAATGGGTGGAGGGGGTTATGGAGAGTGGCAGTGAAGGCCAGAGCCAGAGCAAGAGAGTGTGCATTGAAGAGGAGAAAAGAGAGGACGTGTCTACCACCAGCCACCTCCTGAAGCCCGAGCAGCAGCATCAGAAGGAGGGGAGAGTCCATTCCCACTTGCAGTATAAAGTTAGAGGTCACAGCTCTTCCTCCACCATCCAACACAAGTCCCACCACTGCCAACAAAACTCGGGTTCTGACAGTGTCGGCTCACCCTCCGTCTCCAGTACCCAGACACCCTCACCACCTTCTTCTTCCGACTCCCCCTCATTCTCCTCTCCTCCTTCTTCATCTCCCTCTTCCTCCATGACTCACAGCCCATATTGCCTGGCTCCAGACAGCTCATCCACACGCCACCGCCGTTTCTTCAACACAGCCGAGATCCTCAACCAGTCTGGTCTGCTGGCCATCACGCTACGCACCAAGGAGCTGTTGAAGCAGAATGCTGCCACTGAGAGAGAAATTGCCCAGCTCCGTCAGCACACCCATCTCCTGTGCCAGGTAGCCCAGGCCAGCCAGAGTGGATACAATGAAGGCTCAGAGAACATCAACAAACTCCTCCAGACCATGACCGAGTCAGGCTCCTACCCCAGCTTAGACTTAAATCAACTGAAAGTGCTAAGTGGCAGCCACCAACAGAGTAAGACGGGAAGTGAAGAAGACAAAGGGAAAAATAACAACATAAGAACCACTAAGACACACAGCAACCCGCCACAGGTGGTGTCTTTACACAACACAGATGATGGTACATCACCACCCTCTCCGCTGTTTGCCCCATCGCCAGATACAGAAGAAAGAGAGCATGCTGACGGTCCTCTGGACGGCCCCATGTCACCCTTCATCTCTGTTTCCTTTTCCAGGTCTGTCCCTGAACAGGGACACCAACAAGCAGTCATAGACAGGAACTTAAGTGATCTCACTATGTTGCCAGAGAGCTCAATGCACAATAACTATCTCCTCTAGCTACTTGGTGAAGAGGACTTGGACCGACAGGGTAACACGTGAACTTAGCAATACAGGAGAGCATGGGTTTTGTTTGAATTGAGCAAAACTGAATGTGACTAGTTAAAAGGGAGGATATTTGTTGGGTTGATTTACAGACATGATTTAAAGTTGGACATGATATATTTTCCTACTTTTTAAGTCACGGATTTGCTCATTTCAGTGGTCCATTTTTCATCTATATTTTTCTGTGGAGAGGCCTGTCATTCACAGTGATGGATATCCAATATGTGACAAGAAGCAGACACACAACTGAAACATGTTTACAGATAAACAGAAAACATGAGTCAGGTACTGTTGTCATCACCACTCAGGTCTGTTGTAAAGATTGGCAGCATTTATAGACTGATTACAGCTTTTCCTTTGTTGTGTTGCTTCTTAGAGTTTGACAGAAGCAAAGATCACTTTACATATGGGCCGACAAGCTTTCAGTAGTAATTTGCAGTTGCTTTGGCCCAGTTTCCAACGAGATCTCCAAATAAGATTTCAGTGTGCAATACTCTAATTTTTTTTATTTTTTTTTTAAGATATTGTTTTGCCCTTTTTTATTTGATATGGATTTCTAAATGCAAAGTAGTTGCGTACATCAAGGACACACCTTACCTGAAACAGTGCTCTCCCCCGATTCTCCTCCATAGTGAAACAAACTGGAAATATACTGAATCACTTTGTGACATGGAGAGAGCTTTTAAAAATATTGAAAATGGATGTCCTGACCAACATTATATTGTACACCGCCATGTCACTCTCTAATTGTTTCCACCCAGTTTTAGTAACGAAAGCTGCAAGTCTCTATTGTGAGTCTAATATTCTTAATCCAAAGAGCCAGTCTTACTTTCTTAATTTGTCCCTTAAAGGACCAGTGTGTAGGATTTAGTGGTACCTAACAGTGAAGCTGCAGATTGCAACCATTTGAATAATGCTCAGCCTTCCAAGTGCATAGGAGAAACTACAGTTGCAGGGAAACATTTAAGGCCCTATCTAGAGCCAGTGTTTTGGTTTGTCTGTTCTGGAATTCTTGTGGTTCAAAATAGCGGACTCGGCCATAAGAGGACCCACTCCCTCAGTAGACATAAACAGCTAATTCTGAGGTAACAAAAACATAACGATTTTTAGGTGATACACTAAGGAAAACATACCTATGAATATTATATTAAATTTCTGCCAACCGATCTTCCTAAATTTCACACACTGGACCTTTAAAACATAAAATGCTATCCATACATACTAATGCAAAACACTATATCACATATTCCATCCTCATCCCCAACACAGACACTTCATATCAACACAAGTTCCAATACTCAAACATGTGTTTGTAAGCATTTCTCCATATTTTAACGGTGCTAGTCTGGTGAACAGCGTTTCAAACACATGCTAATTACTTCACCACTATTGCCAGCAAGGATGAAATTTTGATTTCAGAGGTGGGGGACGCACAATTATTTTTAATAAAACTCTAACTCTTTTCAGTTCCTGTGTTTTTCTAGTAGTTCTTCTAGTTTTCTATTGCTCTTTTAAGTTTACGTTCCCTTTTTTGGTTGACTGGTTGTAAAGCATGTTAGCAAACTTATCACCAATTCTTGTGCTTTCACCTTGTTAGTCAACTTCACTCCAACTCGTACCCCAATCTTTTAACTTATTTCTGTTTGCAAGTTTTTGAACTGCTATTTCTTTTGGATTGGGCTGATCAGTTATCTGATCTGGCCCTGCTCTTCCATCTTGTGCTCCTTTACTGCCTGAGCATCCACTGACCCCTGGCTGTGGCTGCTGCTTTTATCAGCCTAAGATAACATAACAAAAGGGGACTGGAATTCTATGAGCAACTTATATTTATTATTACAATAATGGACGAAAAATATTGCAATAAACAAGTTTATGTCACTCCTTCCTATGAACTCACTGCTTAGTCGTACTATTCTTACAATAAATAATACATTTACACATTTACACAGCTTTTTAGTACCCCGCCTCAATTTATAACACTGTATCTGGCCAGTTTGCTTCTTCATCTGACAAACTACTTAAATATATAGATGCATGGTGTTTGAACCTTTGAAGCTCTGATACAGATTATCATCACCCTAGACATTTGT